GTACGGTATGCTCGAAAGACAAGGCACGACCGCGAGAGTCGTCGTACCTAGATTATGTCCGGATGGATGGATGCCTGAAAGGCCCCGATCATAAATACAAGTCTATGGGTCGGTTCTCGGTATGCGTGGCAAAGAGATCAGCGAAGTTCGATGACATCCCGATGCTCGAGGTGACATCCTACAGTATCGGTTGACACCCGGTAAGTGAGAAAAAGCTAGTCTTGGCCCGGTAAGCGGCAAGACTCATCCCAGTTGCAAGTTTAGTCATTCCTTGTCCGGATCTCGGCATGAATCATCCCGGCAATATCCAAGAAGGCCATTTAGCTCGTTATTGACTAGTTTCTCGGCAGGAATGGTCTTAGAGGAGTCTGTTGGACCCGATAAGCTAGTTTTGACAAAGTAAAGCAGTATGAGTCTCCCGGTTGTACCCGATTGGCATTTTAAACTTGTTCTGACCCCGTTATAGGTCAGAACTCATCCCTGTAGGGTCCTGGCTCATCGTAGGAGCAGGACGGTCGAGTGGTCGAGAACCAAGATGGTTGGAAAAGTGAATTGAAATTGAGTCGAGGAAGAAAGAACCTCGTCTAAGGTCTGACGAAGCCACAAAGGGCGCGAAAAGTAGAGTGAGGCTAGAGTTCCCCGTAAAGCTGGCCATCGTCGAGTTCAGATCATGGCGCCGCGCGGTTGAAGAATGTACGACCGTGACAGTTGGTATCAAAGCCATTCTTTGTGCACTTAGTCGGACAGTTTGTCAAGTCATGTGCAGATTGAAGACTCCACAATTGTGTCAAAAGTGTCAGTTTGGTAGGGCAGTTGCGTCAGTCAGTATCAGAGGCAATAGAGAAGGGTTGAAGCCGGACTTCTTGAGACTCAATGATGTCAAGAGTAGACACTCGATTGGGGGAAGTCGATCACGTCAGAAAGTGAGAACCAAGCTTAATTATCAAGGGCTTGGGTGTTTTGTAGAACAAGAGTAGAAACCAAAGGCGAACCAGGTAGGGTGTCTTCGAAAGAGCCATTGCCATCAGAGGGATAATGTCAATGGATGCAAGCAGACGAGGCGGGGGTCAATGTGACATGCGCCGGTCAAGTACAAGAGACGCATCAAGTAAGTCCACAGATGCTGGACAGTGGGGCTAATCAGAGAGCCAGTTCGAGGAAGGGAAGTGATCCAAGATAATGGGTTGCTTGCCCCAAGTAGTGCTCGAGACGTAAGCATGTGTGTCCCTTAAGTTGAAACACTCTAGAGTAATACGGGCTTGCAGGTGCGCTCAAGAGAATGGGTCAGGTTGCATGACGAGTTTAGAGTGGACGACTTCACAGAGAAGTTCAGAGGCTAGTGCTTGCTCAAGAATTAGTGTCAGCCTGGTGCGATTGTGTTCGCGGGAAGCTGCAGGCCAGAGAAGAGTTGTGCAGCATATTCGCCACATGAAGGTGGCAYGAAGGCARCCGTGTGGGTTGTCCGTGGAAGCTGCAGGTAGAGAATAGTCGTGCAGTATTTTAGCCACATGAAGGTGGCGTGTAGGCAGCCATATGGGGTTGTCCATTTGCTGCAAGAGGCGGCACGAGAGCCGTTACCACGAAGGGTAGCGTGAGAGAAGCCGAGTTGCGGCTAGTTGTGCACGAGAGAGTGGTGTGTTTGTGTTTGCCACATGATGGTGGTGTTGTTGAAGCCTTATTGCAGTTCGTTTGCTTGCCACAGCAGGTGGCTTGAGAAAAGGCTTGTTGCAGTTGTGCGTGCCACGAAAGGTGGCCTGTTGAAGAAGTTGGCCGAAGTAGAGTGCCAACACTTGTATGGGCTGTGTGAGAAGCTGTTGTACGTTGCTTCTGATGGGTTAGTGCCACGATGAGTGAATTTCGTGGTAGGCTTGCGAGCCTCACCCCGAGGGGTGCACTATTATATGCCGCTCAGAGAGTACGTGTTTGTTGGGGCGGGAGTTCCC